ACCAATGATATTTTTGCAATATCACGGGATGATCTACAAAAATCAGCCAATTACAATGAAAGCCCGCTATGCTGGTTCCTAGGTGTTCTAAGTAAAAATGTTCTATACACTCAAAAATCCTTCTCAAACCCTAATTCTAACTGCAACTACTAATCTTAATGTAAAAATTTGTGTTAAAAATTTTATATAAAAAATTTATAAAAATTTAGAAAAATTAATAAAAGCATATAATAGGTGCAAAGCACCATAGGATGCGTTTATATAATTGATTTAAAAAATTGCTAAAAAATCGCAAATTTTTTTTTGTTTTACGAGATAAAATTACTTAGTAAACATCATTAAATCACACTTTTATTTCTAATCATTAGTAAATCAAATATTTCATATATACTGCACGCATAATTTACAAATGCTTATCGCATAAATTTCGTGTTCTTGGTTTACAGTATTATTATATTTATTGATTTGAATGTATAACCCAAAAATTTGATCTCCAAAATTAAATTTCATAAGTTAAAATTACAAATAACATGAAAAAATAGTTTACGAAACTTAATACAAAAATTACGTAAAATTACGCAAAATGCAATAATTTTACATCCTTAACCTTGAAGTAAAAACCAAAAAGTCTATAGATTATTACATTATTATAAAAAATATTATTTTATATTTAAACTTCCTGGTTATCACTGCGACACTCATATTTTATCAGCACTACCATACGAAATATGATCATATTTCAATATTTCCCATATACATGTATAGTAATATTGTAGTGGCCTGATTATTTTAAACTCAAATCTAATTCGTCATTTTATCAAGAGTAGTATGACAAGCGTGATAGATTTACTGATACATCCACGATTTCTCGTGAAAATAAAAAATATAAAATGAATATTCTAACTAGAATCGTCAAAATTTATTGATTTTAAAAAATATAATGAAAACGATACCTTTTTTCAAAGTTCTTCTTGTCGGCGAGACAGGAGTAGGAAAGTCTACCCTAATTAACGTATTGACTAATTATTTTCGCAATGGTAGCCCTGATAATATTAAAATTGCTATAAAATCCAAATATTTCCAAATCACTGAAGAAGGTGATAATTTTTCTTTTTATTAATATAACATACAATACAGTATACTAAAAGATACATTTAATTTATTTTTTGTCTAAAGACCTCGAACATCCATCCTCCGAATTTAATGTGAACGATCAAACGAGCAGTCAGACATCTGAATGCTTTTCGTATGATTTCAAACATCCAATACGTCCTGAATATAAATATAGATTTATTGATTCCCCAGGTCTAGGTGACACAAATAATCAGGATCGAAGAAACTTAGAATATATAGTTTAAAAGGCTATCAACGAAAAATATTTAAACGCAATAGTATTTGTTGTTAATGGAAGACAAGCTCGATGTTCAGAAGTAATAAAAAATACAATAAATGGTTTCAACAATTATTTGCCAAGATCTCTCTTGGAAAATAATCTTCTTTTAATAATTACTCAAACTAAAAAATTTGGAGCAATCTTCGATCTAGACTTTTTTAAAAAGGAAGTAGCAATACCAAAGGTATTCTTGAATTTATTTCGGATTCGATTTGTAATTTTATTTTAACTATTGTTAACGAAACTAATCTTTACAAATAGGATGTATTTTACATGGATAATCTAACATTTTCGTGCCACCCTAATGAGTGGCGATCTGATTCGCAATCAAAACTTGAAGTTGAACACAGTTGGGAAGTGTCACAAAAAACAATTTTTGATTTCTTGACTGCTATTGAGAAAAGTGAATTTAAGTCTACCAAAGACTTCCAAAAAATAGCAGAACTTCAAAAGGACTTAATTGCACAAATTAGAAAAGCTATCGGAGAAATCAGCAAAATTAATAGTGCAATTTTTCACCTTTTAAATGCCAAATACGAATTTGAAAAAAACGAAAACATCTTGGAAAGTAACAAAAACTATACGCGAGAGAGAGTTGTTGAGTTTCTTGAGTACATTCAAACAACTAATAAAAATATGATTTGTAGAAATCATCTTGAATCAATTTGCCATGAAAATTGTCCAAATTGGTTTGTTTGCACGTGTGATCGTATCAAATTTTTCCGTGGAAAATGCAAAGAATGTGGATGCAACTGGTCAGAGTAAGTTAAAATATTAACGCCCAAAGTAATTCATAGTATCTCTTGCAATATGAGTAATACCTATTCTTAATTAATTGTTATTAATGGTGTTATATATTGCAAGAGATCAAATTCATTTATCAGCTTTTAAATATTTGACGATATATATGTAATTCAATAGCCATGACCTACAAAAGTACAAAATCGTAAGACGCCGTGAAACATTCGAAGAAGTGATTAAAGAAGTGAAGGAAAAATTTGATAAGCATTTTAATAAATCAATTGATTTAAAGGCGGAGGAAAAAATGAAATGGTCGGATCTTGAAATTCTAGAAAAGGGGATTGAATCATGTTATAACTGCATTCAACAAGATATTGAATCATTAAAAATCATTAGCAAGTTTAATTTTGATAAAAGTTTACAATCTGCCTTCGATAAATTAAAGATTACAGCCGAGAATGTCTCAGACGAAAATATCAGAATAAATCAACTTAAAAAGATTTCTGAGATTGAGGAATTAATTTAAAGTTGATGTATAGTTATTTTGATTGTCAAATTTACTTGATGCAATTATATATTAGCTTCCTTCTTTCTTTTTGTTCTTATTATTAGTAGAATATTTTGCTATGTTATATATGATATATAAGTAGTTTCAACATGACGATTAAAACTGTCAAACAAACGGACTAATAATTATTTTTAATTATTAGAAATTTGATGACTTACTTTTTATAAATAGCAGGTAAATATATGATAAAATATCTGGCTAATTGACTTTTTGATATTTTTATTGCCCACCACAATAACTATTTAATAATTTACATTTTTCACAAAGATCTCTTTTATAACCCTTCAATTTTTTTCACTATGCTCACCAGGTGAACAGAGTAAATATTTTGCTATAAACTCTATAAATCAATTCCTGCTTGACTCTAAAAAATTTAGTCAATAAATTTTTTCTTATCAAATCGAGCAATTTTATTACATGTTAAACATTGCAAATGATATTTTTTAGTTCTATTAGTTATTTTTTTTAAGTTAGCATTGCATAAGGATGAAGAAAACTTATGTTCGACATTAACAATATAAATGCCAATAAAATTTAGTGTCCATTTTTTTGGACTAAATTTCAGAAAAATTCATCTATTCAATTTGATGAGAATCCTTTAAGTTGCTAAGGAATTCAGAAAAGGATTGGAATTCTTGTCTATATTTACAAAAAAAAATTTATAATAATTACTTTGGGTGATGTTTTCTTGTTTGAAATGTTCGATAAATAAGAACTGTTTAAGATTTTTTTATTGATGGAGAAACAGAGAAGGTTCTATTCTCCTCCTTGGATTGTTAGAAAGTATTGAAAGTCGCCTGGTTAGGAAGAAAAGAACAGGAAGCTTTAAAGTACTAAAATCTGTCATATTTCTTTGTGGTTATCAATTATATTTAAGATAGAAAGTATTAATCCGCTTTGTTTTCCTATCGCTATCTTTATAATGCATGCGATTATTTTCACAAATTGTTCCATAAATATATCGGTATCGATAACAATAACTTATGTATGCGCTAGAGGAAATACTTATTTGTGCCTAAAAAAGGAAAAATAAACTAATTTCGTAAAATTAGAAATTTAGGGTTAAACGTTAAAGTTAGAGGATATAGGAGTAAATAATTGCATCCTGCATGTAAAATTTTAATTCCATCATTTTTAATTAGTGCTTCAAGACAAGCCTAAACACTCATTTTCTTGTATTTGCTCCTTTTTTTCAGATTCGTTCAGTTTTTCGCTTTGCTCACATCCAGGATAATCAGTTTTGCGTTTCCGATTGGCTAGTTTCCATTTTGGGTTTATATTATCATATAAATAAGCGCACATACGTACGTACGTACGTACGCACGCACGCACGTAAAATCGACATATTATCATGCACTTTTACGTAAGTGTATATTGTAAGTGAGAAATTTAAATTGATTTTGAATTTCTTAATAAAATTACGATTTTAGGGTAGAATTTACTTTATGTAAACCTACACCCTAACCTAAAAATTCCAAGAAATTCCAAATCCACTTAATTTCCGTTCCCACTTACAACATCAAACCACAACAATTGTAATAAAATGTAAATACTATAATAAATTAATCTATAATAATTGAATAATGCATAAACGTTATGATATTGCTTGTAAACCTATGCGCATTAATTAGCGACCTGCTAATTTAGTGAATAAACTAGTTGCCCGGGGTGTAGAGAAGGGCGATATGTCGACACGCGTGTGATCCTATTTTTGAATCGGATAATCATCAATTTATCTAATTCGGTAGTTTTTATTTTTAATAATTGCTCTTAATAAAATTTTTGGTTTATTTTTTAATAATAATAAAGTTATGTTACTGTATTATATGCTGGAATGACTAGCTTGAATTATTACTCTTGATAGGATTGTTTAAATTGGTGTGTTTGAATTTAGATTAGAGATGTTATACATAGTACGATTATATTATTCAAAATACATACTATCGATATGTATAACAGACATTCTTACGCCAGATTTACCGCCAAATTTGAAGTACCGAATTTTAAAAAGATAGTTTAAAATGGTTATAAATAATTTAATAGTAAAAACTCCATATTGTGTATAATGAAAAGGTTTATAACGGAATTTAACATTTGTCAAGCCTATTCCGTTATAGGACTAATGCTTTTACGTTGTAAAATATTACCACTGTGAAAGTCTGCATGAATAAACCCTGCGTCATGAATTTTATATAAGTCGTTAGAAATATCTTCAAGTAGTTTCAATTTAGTTTGCCAGTTAAGATCACGAAAATTTTTTCTTAAAAACTTGTGAAGACTTCCATTATAAGCAAATCAAAATATTATCAAGTATTTATTTTCACTGTTTTGAGTTAATACACATATTTTAAGAGTACTACCATATAAACGCATGTATCCGACATTTCATATGATCATGTGAATTTTTTGCACTGATATTTTTTGCATGAAATTACGTAATCAGTTTTGCAAAACATCTCAGCAAAATTTTGTCGTCTGTCCAATAATGTATGCTTATATGACATATTTAATAAATTGATTAATAAATTGATAAATAAATAGATTTAATTTACTTCTTTTAAAGAACCAGACAAGGTCTTGAGTGCACTTGATGACGTATGGTTCACGTACTCTTACATAATTAAAATCATTGCCATCAATTTTTGTATACCATCCAATCAAATTGCCAAATATACAGTGCCGAATCTTTACCAATTTCATTAACATCAAATAATCTATCAATTGGAATCCATTTGATTGATTATGGAATACATTGGTTCTAAGTTGGAACATTTTCATGAAATTGTCAAGAGCCTTATTTCTGCTTGTCCATCTTATTGCAATGTCGGTCACATGATAGGCATCATGCTTTATACGTGTTATCTTCATTACAATGCGCACCTTTACTATATTTAGAGTCGCTTTATAATCACAATGTATAACATTTTACTTCACCAGCCAATATTATTTTAAACCTTATAACAAATATAAATAATTTTTTACTTACCGACTTAAAGTTAATGAGAATGAATGATTTAAAGGTATTTATTTGTGAACTTGTTTGCTGTTTTTAATTCCAATGATTAAAATAATGTTTTTTATTCTCACGCATTGAGTGAATAATTAATGCAAATGAAATAATTTGAAAGGTATTACGTAATGGTAAACAAGTATTTATGTTCTTGAATTGTGATCTTGTTTTGCTGGTTTTAATACTAATGATTAATAAATGTTCTTTATATTCACACACTGAATGAATGATTAATGCGAATGAAATGATTAAAAGAGTTTTACGTAATGGTATACGTATAAGTTATTATGTTCTTGATTTGTGAACTTGCTTTGCTGTTTTCAATTCCAATGATTAATAAATGTTTTTTATACTCATAAATTAATAAAATAATTAATATTAATTTTTTTTTACACCAATTCCGTAATAGTAACAAATGCTGCTTTCCGAATCACCATTGAATTACCCGTCATAACTGATTTCAGATGCTTTTTGTTTGTCTTTTTTAACACCAATTTCTAAAGAATAATCATATCCAACTTGATACATTCCGTTGGAATTTTTCAGGTCTGCAGATTTTTGTTAGTATATAAATGCTTTTTTCATCATTTTCAACTCAATTCCATATTCATAACAATAACCAAACCAATAAATTCCGTCCGGATCGTTTGTATCGGTTAATTTTTGACAGCCATTGAGATTCAGTTGATTAGAATCTTCAATAATTTGAAATAATGTTTTCTTTTTCATTTTGGTTTACAAAAAAAAAATATAGACAGTTATTTACTTACAGTGGTGGTTGTACAATATTTTAAAATTGTACCGGTGCAATTCTGTACAGAATCAGAAAAGGCAAACAATGAATAGTCTTTTGAAACAGCTAAATTGGCGTGCATGTACGTACGTATGAGATAGGTGGTTTTTTTTGCATATGGTACGACGTATTGTGTTACTGAATAGCACATAAAACTAAAAATAGAAATTATAAATTACTTTCTTGCAAACTTCAATTCTAATATGACAACCAAGTTTTTGGAAAAACTTTCAAGCAATTTAAGCGACCTTCTTATAAATGGAAATGAATATAATGTCATTATTGAAGTTGGTCAAACACCGAACCACAAGGTGCTTAAAGCACATTCTGTAATCTTGAATTCTCGGTGCTCATATTTTAAAGATAAATTAAGTGAAGTCGCCTATGAAAATGGTGTGAAAACAATTAAAGAGACAGATATTCCAGTTAAAGCGTTTGAGATCATAATTAAGTAAGTAGTGAAAAAAAAGATAAAATAAAATAATGTTTAAATTCAATTGCAAAGTTTCAATCAAATTTAATATGTAGGTATATTTACGATGGAACGATTTCCTTAGAGAAGGTTGATGCCTCTGTTATATTTGATCTTTTAATCGCTTCTAATGGACTTGGTTTTGAAGAATTAGTTAAGCATGTTCAATTATTTTTAATTGAAAATAATGCTTCTTGGTTACGTTTAAATTTTTCTCGTATTTACCAAATTAGTTTTAAAGATAATCATTTCAATGCTTTACAACACTTTTGTACTAATATCATCGCAAAATATCCAAATATTATTTTTGATTCTGACGAATTTATTACACTTTCTGAAAATATCCTAATTTCTATCTTAAAACTTGATAATTTACAAATGGATGAAGGATTAATTTGGGATCATGTTATTAGATGGGGAATTGCACAGAATCCTTCTTTAACTCCTAACCCTAAACAGTGGTCCGATGCAGACTTTTTAGTTATGAAAATTACTCTTCAAAATTGTCTTCCTTTAATCCGTTATTTCCAAATTTCTGGAAAAGATGTTTTTAAAAAAGTTCGTCCTTATCAGAAAATTCTTGATCAAAATTTATGGGAAGATATTGAAATGAAATTTATGATGCCGGATCAAACTATTAATTCTCAAATTTTACCTCCTCGTAATCCTTCATCGACTTCATT